TTTTTTAGATAAAAAAATCAAGAATTTTCCGAGAAATTTATTTTGTCCGGTCTGAAACACTTTTTTCAAAGAAAAATTCTACTTAGAAATATCATCGTACAGAATTCTGCCGTGATAATTTTTTTTGTTTTGACATACTTTTTGGTGAAATAAAAAAATCTGTAATCACAGTTCAAAAACATGCTCAAAAATACAAAAAAAATAAAAAATTACTTGCAACAATCAATTTTTCAGTAATTGTTGATAATTTGTTTAAATTTAAAAAAAATCAAAAACTGTTTACACCATTGAATTCTACGGAAAAAAATACAAAAAAAAAACTGTCTCATTGTTTGACCCCAAACATTATTTTTGCACAGTATTACTATAAACATAAGTCGAATAGTGAATAAATAAATAAATAACAATTTTTTTTCCGTAGGATCGATTAGTGTACAGGGTGGGCAAATAAGCGAGGTAAGCGGCTGTATCTCAGAAACTAATGATCGTAGAGAGCTACGGTAAATAATTTTATGGGTAAAGTGGGCAAGGGAAAATGCTGGAAATTATTTTCAAGTTTCCAAGATGGCCGCCAGTGGGCGTTTCCACCATCTTGAATTACATAAAGTTACGTTTCTCGCGATTTTCCCCTATGAATGTAACAAAAAAGTATTTGCGTTTTAATGTTAACTTAAAGTCGAATATTTTTTGTAAAAACAATTTTTCTCTATCTTTCGAAATAAAGTGGTGGGGGGTATTTGAATGTTGTTTTAAATAAATGCCTGTAACTTCGAAACGGCTTAATGGATTTGGATAAATTTGGTATCATTGAAAAGAGCATTTCTTGGGCTTTTAGGTTTCTCGTAATCATGACAGTTGCGACCTACACGGCCGCCGATAGAGGGCGTTATTCGATATTATAACCAAAATATTGGATTTTCTCAAAAAATTTAAATGCGATGATATGACTTTTTTTAGACTAGAAAATAGACAAATGACCAACCAATAAGCCTGCGCAAACCGCATCTTAATATCTTTTTCCTAACTCAAATTATTAAAAAAAAATACTAAACCAGGAAAATTCATATATCCCCATTTAAAAATGCATCGGTTGCTTTCGATAAGAAGGCAAGTAGTAGGCCATGGAAATAAAAGACAAACTCCTCTCTAAAATATTCACAAGAAATGTCAGTTTATTTAGTGCTGTGATTTTAAGTCGCACGTTTTCGTATTTATAAGCGATTTTCCTTTTAAATAAAGTTGTGGTCCTGAAAAGGACCGATTTTGAAAAAAGATTAATGCCTTCTGTGTTCAAATTGCCTTCCGTCATATTCCACACATTGTTCCAGTCTTTCTTGAGTCGACAGAACCGCAGCCTCGATTTCTACCGCTGATAGTTGACGAATTGAGTTTCGAATTCTGTTTTCCATATCCATTCGTGTTGTTGGTGGAGTTTGAAAAACAATGTCTTTTAAGCGTCCCCACAAGTAAAAATCAAGACATGTCAAGTCCGGAGATCTTGCCGGCCAAGGAAATAGGCTTCCCCTTCCTATCCAGCGTTCTCGAAAGGTCCCGTTAATATGGTTTCGGACATTAATTGAATAATGTGCCGGACAACCATCTAATTGCAGAAACATAGTTCTCCTAGTTTCGAGTGGCACATCTTCCAACAAAATTGGCAAGTCGTTGATCAAAAACTCTAAGAAGCGGTTACCAGTTAAAGCTTGATCAAAAAAATAAGGTCCAATAATTCTGTCCCCAATGATACCGCACCACACATTTAGGCTCCAGCGTCCCTGGTGCTGCACTTCTCTTAACCAATGCGGATTTTCAGCGGACCAATAATGCATATTATGACGGTTTACTCTACCATCACTACTAAAGGTAGCCTCGTCGGTCCAGAGAATTTCCGTTAAGAAATTTCTGTTTTCCTCAAGCATGCCTAGCATCCATTGACAATAATTTAATCTATTATCGAAATCTTGTTCATTTAGCGCCTGGTGCAAAACTATGTGGTAAGGATGTAATCTAAAAGTAAAAAACAACATATGCGTAAAAATAATATAATCAGAATAACACTGAATTGTGTATTTGAGAGTATGTGCTAAGATACTTGGAATAAGATAAAATTATTTACCTATAATCTTTCAAAATATTTCTAACAGTTGTTCGTGCTATTCCCAAGTCTAGAGACAATGTTCTAGTTCCTACATGTCTATCAAATTCTATGTAAGCCAAGACATTGATAATGTTTTCTTCGGTCCTTCCATTGCGACGCCTGCGACGTTTAGGACGACGAAAACTTCCAGTATCGCGTAATCGCTGTACCAAGCGCGGAAACATTCTTCTCCCGTAATGACGGCGATCTGGATACCGTGCCGCGTACTGTCTTGCAGCTATAGCTGCATTTTGAAAACACTCGAAATAAATCGCAATCATGTCAACGGCTTCATTATTTGTGAGAGGCATTTTGATTAAAAAGTACTCAAATTATACGCAATCAACAATATTAGGCTGCGTGTGACAAAAGTTTGACGTTACTTGGCAATATTTTTGTTAGGCGATTGTCGTGTCCATGGCCTACTACTTGCCTTCTTATCGAAAGCAACCGATGCATTTTTAAATGGGGATATATGAATTTTCCTGGTTTAGTATTTTTTTAAATAATTTGAGTTAGGAAAAAGATATTAAGATGCGGTTTGCGCAGGCTTATTGGTTGGTCATTTGTCTATTTTCTAGTCTAAAAAAAGTCATATCATCGCATTTAAATTTTTTGAGAAAATCCAATATTTTGGTTATAATATCGAATAACGCCCTCTATCGGCGGCCGTGTAGGTCGCAACTGTCATGATTACGAGAAACCTAAAAGCCCAAGAAATGCTCTTTTCAATGATACCAAATTTATCCAAATCCATTAAGCCGTTTCGAAGTTACAGGCATTTATTTAAAACAACATTCAAATACCCCCCACCACTTTATTTCGAAAGATAGAGAAAAATTGTTTTTACAAAAAATGTTCGACTTTAAGTTAACATTAAAACGCAAATACTTTTTTGTTACATTCATTGGGGAAAATCGTGAGAAACGTAACTTTATGTAATTCAATATGGTGGAAACGCCCACTGGCGGCCATCTTGGAAACTTGAAAATAATTTCCAGCATTTTCCCTTGCCCACTTTACCTATAAAATTATTTACCGTAGCTCTCTACGATCACTAGTTTCTGAGATACAGCCGCTTACCTCGCTTATTTGCCCACCCTGTACATATTTTTTTTAATTTTGATGATTCGTAGATATACAGTGTGTCCAAGATAAGGATGGGATAGCATTAGGATCTAGGAAACGGTAAGAGATAGGGGGGGGGCTCAGATTAGAAAAAAGTTGTATTTTTTTATACCTAACAGTATACCGTTTAGAAAGTTTTAAAATTCCGGGTAGTTCCGGAGATATCCGGAAAAATCCGAAATTTTTCAAAATTGTGTAATTTTTTTCTGGCTTTATTTGAAAACGAATTTTAAAATAAATTGCATATTTACTATGCCACTTTTTTCGCTTAAAAAGGTTTTAACTTGTTTTAGCTATCATTTAAAATTTTTCCTGAGAACGCTTTCAAAATATCTATTGGATAGTCATAAGTAACAGTATAAAAGTCAATACCGCACAAAATATCCAACAATTTTTATTACTACTATTGCAATACTAATTAGAAATAATGAAACATTTCATAAATTCGTATTATTTTTTAATTAGGTAGGTACGACTTTTTAAATTATTGAATAAAAAAATTGTTGGATATTTTGTGCTGAATTGACTTTTATGTTGTTATGACTTCCTCCAATAGATATTTTGAAAGCGTTCAGAGCCGTACTCAGGAAAAATTTTAAATGATAGCTAAAAACCTTTTTAAGCGATTACAATAAAAAATGACTATAGATTTTGTCATAAAAATAGCAGCGACGTATTTAAGAAAATTAACCTGATGTTGGCCCCTCGAAGACGAAACGTCGGATAACAAAAATGTTGACGCCATTGGATAGAGTGAAAAAAGTGGCAATGTCAATATGCAATTTATTTTAAAATTCGTATTCAAATAAAGCCAGAAAAAAATAAAACGATTTTGCAAAATTTCTGGTTTTCGGATTTCGCATAAACAGCAGACTTTGCAGTTAATACTTTGTATTGCTGAAATATCAAATCATCCAGAGATAATTTATCATTTGTGCATTTGTAATTCGACAGATGTTTATAGCAATACTGTACAAAAATAAAGTTTCGAGTCAAACAATCAGACACAGTTTTTTTTTGAATTCCTTTCCGTAGAATTGAATGGTGTAATAAGTTTTTGAATTTTTTTTAATTTAAACAAATGAAAAAAAAAATTATTTCACACCGGAAAAAATGAATATCTCAGAAACTTCTTGATTTTTTTATCTAAAAAAAATTGTGATTATTTAAGACACAGAAAGGTATACTTTCACCTAGTTTCGTCAAAATTAAACCATTTTTGCGGAAATGAGAAATAAAAAACGAAAAATCAAAAAAACTGTTTTTCGCATTTTTCTCGGAATTTTTGAGGTTGTCTTAAAAAGCGACTTCTACAAAAGTTGTAGATTTTTGCATGATCTACAACTGTTGTATTGGATACTTTCTTTTTTGACGTCAACTTTCGCCAGAAATCCCAGTGCTATAATTTTTCATAACTTTTCAACCCCCCAAATCAACCCTCCGTCGCCCCTGCTCACGCATTTATTTTTTTTAGGTTTATTATAAGCCCCCTTTACCATTTCCACTTATAAAAGTCCAGATACATTTTTTTTCTCCAAGTGTAATTTGGTTGGACTATTAATGATTTTTAAATCACTGACCTGTGACTATGTTGCAGTTCCAATCTTTCAAGGATCGTAGTGCTCTTACAAAACGTTTTAGGAAAAACGAAGACGAAAAAAATTTTTGATACCAATTATGTTTTCTTATTAGAACCGTTAGAACATGAACACGTTTTCTTTTTTTTTCCAGATGTAGTAATCAGAAGACCACACCTAACATCCCAAATGGAAAGGAACAAACTCAACTAACTACCATGTGATGTGCACCCGAACCCATACCAAACGGACTACAATAACCATTCGCGCCAATCTAAAATGTCCCTGAAAGACCGAATTCCTTCAGTCATCACCATCTCCTCTTTCACATCCTCGACCCCTCCTTCGATGTCTCCCACCGCGTTGAGCCGGTCTATCGACGTCGCGGTCACATCGCTATTCTACACTCTCGGTACCACGGAAGAAACGAACAGCATACCGGATTACCAGGATAATTCTAGTTCCATCTTAGAGCAGCCAGAAAATTTCGTTTTCTTTCCTAATTCGGATAGTCTCAATTTCACTTTCAACAGTAGCGGCATCAACAATGTCACTTTGGAGGACATGGACACCACCGAGCTGATAACCATGATCATCACCGCCATAATGCTGGGGTTCATCATATTAGCCACAGTTATAGGTATGAGACTTTTAATTTCATAAGCTTAAAGGAAAATACTGGCAGACACCACTAAAAATCTCAGAATTTTGATGATTTGGTGTTGTGTAAATAAAATATAAAATTTACAAATTCATTCCATTGACAACTGCATTTTAAAGAGAAAATGCCTCCTACATTTCATTCGACAAATTAATAATTTTCCAGCTTTTGTTTTTGCGTAAAATAAATTTAGCATAGAGTTAAATGAAACAAAAATAATTCTATAGACCTGTGCACAAAAAAGATGTATGGGATTTTTTTGTTGCAAATGTAATTTTAAATAAATGAAAGGTCCAAAAATTTCAATGGCTTAGAAATTTGCCCCTTACAATCGCTCAAAGCATTAAAAATTTCTAGTACAATATTTTATTATTGCAAATTAAAATTTCAATTGCAACAAAGGATTCCTATGTATGTTTTTTTTTGTAAAACGAACAATTTTAAATTTTTTCTCTATTTATAAAATTATATAGGTATTAAGCTTATTTTATACTAATAATAATTACTTAAAAATCGCTTGTTTTACGAATAAAATGGAAATGCACTTGTAAGTTAAATACATTCCAAAAACAATCTATTATTTTCAAATTCTGGGATTTTTGGTAACTATGTCGTCTAATATTACTCATGAGCACAAGAATGATTGACCGTTTACTTTTCAAAAATGTAAATACCAGGTAATTTGAAGCAACTTTGAATTAAGGTATACTTGGACATATGTTGGTCTCAAAATTTTCTGGTGGCATTTGTTTTCCTTTATTTGAAAAAACGCATGCATCAAGATATTACATACCTATACAAATAATCCAGAAATAACAAAACGTGCAGTAAGTGACACAATAAACTACTATAATAATTCTCTAGCTTCATAAATTAGTTACTCTATGCATGATGTTACCTAAACCATCAGAATGTATATCACAATCGATTGAGGATTTATTAAAATTGTTGAGTTTACATAATGCTGGTGAAAAGTTAGATACAACGACACAAAAGCTAAGGAACATAATACACAATAGCTGAAAGTAGCATGCAACCAATTGCGTACTAGTAAGAAATACAAAAAAAATTGGTAATGTAACTATTGCGACTATAACGTATTGATACAGAGTCTTCAGAAATGATTACAAGTCATGTAACCACAAAGTTTTTTTGGACCAGTAATTTTATTTCCTTTGGTTGGCAATCAAATTTCAGTAAAATTAAAAATTATTATAACAATAAGATCAGCATTACACAACATTATGTGATTGGTGTAATTTTTCACTAGAATCTATTCAACCAATCAGCGAACGCATTATCTCGAGTTTGGACGTAACGCTTTGTCATTGTTCATTGTAAACGAATTTTAGTTGACAATACCAGTCTTGCAATGTTGGTTACCTAAGTTCGGGGGCCACGTGGCTTGTAAACATTTATGAAGACATTGTATTAAATTGATTCAGTAGTAATTGATGCAGAATAAATATCAGTGATCAATAATTTCATATTCTGAACTTTCTCTACACTGGTATTGTAATATGCTATTTTGAAACGAACGTAAAATGTAATGTTTTAAAAGCAAGCATATTAATAAACCTTTATAACAACTTCTCATGATAGATCCTAAGCATTTTGAAGGTATATGAGTAGAAAACAATAGTAGATAGAGAATTTCATTCTTATATTATTTACATTACGCACGTCTCTATTGTTTAACAATTGTTCAAATAGGTACCAGAGAATCACTGATGGAGTCAATTTTTCTCACAATTTAAGGTCATCAACAAAATATACACTGCTCAAAATAATTAGAAGAACACTTATTTAAATCTCAATAACTTTTTTATTTGTAATACTATATAAATCTAATAATGCATATCTTAAAGACTAACATTTTGTTCGAATAAATTTACGAAAATAAAACAAATTTACATAATCATTCTTGAGACAACAGCGCCAATTAAAAATCTACAAGAAATAAAGTGAAGAGTCTGTGATCCTGTCTGTATAACATAAAGGTCCTGGTGAGATTTGGTTCACTAATATCGTGTATGTCTTCCATTAGCACGAATTACTGCTTGACACTTCCGTGGTAAGCTTCGGATGAGCCTACGAATGTCTTCTTCTGGTATATTCTCCCATTCTTCGATTAGGGCATTTGTTAACTGTTGGAGAGTCTGAGATGGGTCTGGGCGCCTCCGAACACGCCTACCTAACAAATCCCAAAGATGTTCGATGGGGTTTAGATCAGGACTTAGCGGAGGCCAATCCATGGATTCAATCCCGTGATGTTGAAGGTAGTTCATGGTGATAATCGCAGTATGTGGCCTTGCGTTATCTTGCATAAACAAAAAATTTGGACCTATACCATAAGCGGCTAGTATAACATGATCTTCTAGAATGAGATCAATGTACCGTTCAGCGGTTAGAGTCCCTGGAACTATGACAACATCGGTTCTCTCATCAAGACTAATTCCGCCCCAAACCATCACTGACCCACCACCAAATCTTTCGACTTCTTGTATGGCAGCTGAAGAATGGCGTTCATGTGGACGTGGGTATACACGTACTCGACCATCACAACGACTTAAACGAAATCGTGACTCATCTGTGAAGAGTACTGGTCTCCAATATCGAAGTTGCCATGTCACATGCTCACGTGCAAAATGTGAACGAGACCTTATGTGATACGGAGTTAAAATAGGTTTTCGAACGGGTCTTCTTGATCTCAAGTTTGCTTCTCTCAATCTATTCCCAACTGTCTGATCGGAAATTTCCAACCCATGAGTCGTTCTGAGCCTACTTTGAAGGTCTTTTGCAGTGGATGTACGAGAACGCAAGAAGGATAGGACTAAAAACCTGTCCTGAATTCGATTTGTTTTCCTCTTAGGACCTTGTCCAATGCGTCTTTTATATCCTCCGGTTTCTAAGTAACGATTCCACACGCGATGGATGATTGAAGGGCTTACGTTAAAATCTCTTGCAACCTGTCGAATACTGGTGCCATACTCTATACTAGCAACAACACGAACGACTTCAACTTCACTTAGATGCCTCATTTTTTACAATTTATGCTGAACTGTCAACATTGTTTACTATTCCAAGGCACAGCATATTTCTAAATTGAAATTTTGATTGTATGTTTCACTTTATTTCTTGTAGTTTTTTTGAATTGGTACTATTGTCTCAAGAATGATTATGTAAATTTGTTTTATTTTCGTAAATTTATTCGAACAAAATGTTAGTCTTTAAGATATGCATTATTAGATTTATATAGTATTACAAATAAAAAAGTTATTGAGATTTAAATAAGTGTTCCTCTAATTATTTTGAGCAGTGTAGATATAGAAGATAAGTCATTTATAAATAGTAAAAACTGCAATAGTCCGAGATTAGGTCCCTGAGGGACTACAAAATATGGATAAACAGTAGATAAAGTGATAAACATTATCGCTTAGAATCTGGCATAGATTTATCATTGTTTTACAATAATTAGAAGAAGTTCCAAATCTTAAACATAAGTCAAGTATCATCAGTAGAAAATACAGGATGTCCCAGAATATAAGGGCAATCTCTCGGAATTATACAGGACACGTTAAAATAACAAGACAAGTTCCTATAAAAATTTTCCTTCGAGGGACCACTACGGAGATACAGGCCCCTAAAGGAGGCCCCTGAAAATCGATTTTTTTTTAACTTTTAAAGTATGTAATTTAATTATTTTTTAATACGAGGGACAACAAAGGATCCAACAATCTTCAATTCACACAGCTAGGGAAAGCATAACATTAGAAGGAGCTCATGCTGAACGGACAAAATTATGTAATAAAAATCATATTAAGTAAACAAAAATAGTTTTTGAAATGAGTTCCTTTTATAGATATCAACCAAGACTGCTTGTTTTAGTTTAAGACTGAAGCTATCGAAAAATATTATTTTTGTGTCTGTATCATAAAGGATGTAAAAAAAATTGACATTGTGCTACAATCTCTCCGTTCCTGGTAAACCAAATAAGCCAAATTGTTTTCAGGGGACAATTTTTAAGGAGTCTTATCTGTTGTCCATCGTATTAAAAAATAACACAGCCACGCAAAAAAAAAGTAGTACATATGTACTTTTCATGCAACATATGTTATCTGTAGTATTTTTGCCTCCTGATCACGAATCCGGTGTCAGAATTGAGCTATCATATTCCAGGAATTTCCTAACCTCAAAAAATAGGTCAAAAATAGCAAAAATTCACGAAAATGTGCTAGGAAAAATACAAAAAAAATGTTTTTTCTATGTTCAAATGTTCATTTATATGGTTAAGACCCCGTCGAACGTGAATCTGCAGTCAGAATTGATGGTTATTTTTCTAACCTCAAAAAAAAAACGAGTCAATTAAAGTCGAATATAACGAATTTTCAAAAAATAACAGATTCGCGCCAAATTTAGTATACGGGTGTTTTCAAGGTCGCTGATCACGGATCCAAGGTCAATTTTGCAAAATGCAATATGGCGGATCCAAGATGGCTGACCAAATTTTTAAAAAATAACAGAAAATTCGTGATGTCTGACCTTATTGACCCGTTTTTTTTTTAAGTTAGAAAAAGAACCATCAATTCTGACCGCGGATTCACGTTCGGCGGGGTCTTAACCATATAAATGAACATTTGAATATAGAAATAAAAAATTTTTTGTATTTTTCATAGCACTTTTTCGTGAATTTTTGCTATTTTTGACCTGATTCTTTGTTGAAAATACTTCGGACAACATATGTCGCATGAAAAGCACAGAACACTTTCTTTTTGTATGTGCCTGTGTAATTAAATTACACAAGGTACCTTAAAAGTTATTAAAAAAAATCTATTTTCAGAGTTGTCCTTTAGGGGTCTGTATCTCCGTAGGGAGGCCCTCTAGGGAAAATTATTATGGGAACTTGTTCTTGTTATTTTAACGTCCCCTGTATAAATTCGAGAGATTGCATACATATTCTGGGACACCCGGTATACAAA